TGTGATTCTGTGATTCTGTGATTAGGAGCCTGGTCAGCACCAGGAAGATTTTTGCATGTGCTATGGAGGGGAAGCAGCCTGTAAAGCTGTGTGATAGCTGAAATATGGGTGCAGGGTAGGCCCCGTCCTTCTGAGGGGGTGTGCCTGAGGTGGCAGTGCTGTCCTAGGCAGGGCTGAATGCCTGTCCCCTGACCTAACAAATTCAAAGAAGGCCCTTGTGAGCTTATTTGCGAGAGGAAAGCCATGTCGTTCCCTGCCAGGCATGCTTCCCAGGCTTGTTTTCCTTGGAAAAATAGCTGAGCTGACTGTCCTGTCTCCTCAACAAGCTGTCAGTTTTGAGCAAAGCAAAAAGCCAGTTCCAGAAGTGAGTATTGAGTCAGGATGCCAGCATCCACAAGAAGACCGTTAGAAGACAATTATCAGGTTACCGTCGTTATTATTGTTTGACTTTCTTGTGGACAGACAGACTAGTACCTCACAGGTGAGCGATGTCATTTTATGCCATCACACTGAAACAGCTCTAGAAAACCCTGGACGACATTATGATTTTATATCATGTAGTAAAGAAGCCCCTGGCAGTCTTGAGTTTGGGAAAAGGAAGAGGCAAGATTCTTTTGTGTGAAAGGTGATTGATTAGTTGGTGTGCTTAGCAGAAACTCTTTTCTATTATTTAAGTGATTTCTACGTCAAAAAGGAAGCTTGAGAGCATTGGTATTGGTGAAGTGTCATTCTGAAGCTGATTTTTCAGACTTCTGCATAAGGAAGCAGCTGGAAATGAGATATAAGATCACCATGGGAAGGGCTCATTAGCAAGTGTTCAGATCTGAAAGCTGAACTTTATTTACAGTGACACTCCATCTTAAAACAGATCTTAAAGCAGATCTTAAAAATGGCTCACCAGCAGATTTAAGGACATGGGAGAGAGCAAGGAAATGAGTGTACTACTAGTGATGTCCTGCAGATGTCATGTGAGTTTGTTCTGTTTAGCATTGCCACCTGGGCTAGGAGCCAAGGCTGTACTCCAGCCGGATGGGCACATCACGAGGCAGTTTTCTTAATGCTACGCTGTAGGTGAAACAGGGCTTGGTTTTGGGAGCTGCTTTGGGTGGTGGTGGCCACCTTGCAGGAGCTGTTGTCCAGGGCTGGAGGAGGGCTGTTGTGCCGCATAATAGGTGGGGCCATCTAGCAAAACTGTGGTTGGTGCCAAGTGGCGGAGTCACTCATTTGCTCTCATTAAGCGCCTGCTCCTGCTGCTGAGGACAGATCCTTCTCCCGGCCAGTTCTCTGAGGCAGGCTTGACATCGTCCGATGCACATGTGGCTGCTGCAGGTTTTTCTTGCTGCTTCAGCCCTTTGCTCTTGTGAGTTGTGCTTGTGAGCTGTGGGTCTTGTGAGAGTCGCACTCTGTAAGTCCAGGGATTTGGTCACTGCTGTCATGACAGTGCTGTTCTCTGCTTTTCTTTGCAGATGGAGCTGCACAAAGCCTCAGGCAGCCAAAACCTTCCACAAGCAACAAAGTGCAAACAACTGCGAGAATTAGCTGCAGTTTTTCTGGCTCAGACTTCCAGAATACTCCCATTCACTGGTACCAACAGAAACCCGGTGAACCTCCAACGCGCATTCTGTATGTGGCAACAGGAGAAGCTGTTTTTGATAAACCGGATGATGGAGATGTGTTTTGGGCAGAGAAGAGCAAGCTGAATCCCATCTGCACTCTGACAATAAAGCGAATAACGAAGCAGCAGGAGGCAACCTATTATTGTGCTTACTGGGTCTACACAACCATAGAAAACTGTTAAGCAGCCTGTACAGAAACCTCCTTGAGGCTCTCAGCCACAGGCTGGCAAGGGTTTGAAAGCTCATCTGATGCCACAATCCTGCATCTCAGCTTGGGCTCATGGGTAGGAATTCCTTATGGTGTATGGCAACCAGCTGTGGCAAATAACACCCGCGAGCTGCTTGGCTGTGTGAGGTCACTAACCTCTGCTGCATGGCAGCAGAGAAAAACGATCCTTGGGAGTGCTTTCTGCAAGGCTTTGGAGAAACCTGCCAGCAGATGGTGGCAGGAGCAAGGAGAGCTGAAGGCAGAATGATGGTGGCAAAAGACAACTGGGGAGGGAAAGGAGAGAGAGGGAGCCACGGTTCTGGGCTCGGCTGTTTCTCTTTTGGCAAGGGTTTGCATCTCATGGCTTTTTCCAGGTGGCCAGTGGCTGCAGGAGAGATGCCAGGAAGAAGCAAAGCTCAGCCTAGGCCGGCTGAACAGCGCCCCAGCTCTGGCCTCTGGCAGCCAGCACCAGTGGGTGCCTAGAGGATACTGTAACAACAAGCATACAGCAGTAATTTCCCAAATGCACTCCCTGATTTGAGTGATGGAGAACCATAGCTTTGCCTGCTTTTGAGGGCTTAAAAATCTGGATATGAAGAAGTGACTTTGAAGCTAACATACATTGATGATATTCTGAGAAGAAAGGTGACCCTTTAGTCATCATCTAAACCAGCCTCCTGGCTAAAAAAAGAAAAGGAGAAATTTTTGCCTCAGGAGTGGGCTCTGTTCTTGTAAGGGATTTTTATTTTTATTTTTGCCTCCCATTTAAATATTATTCAAAGGAAACTGTTTATGTTAAGTAAAAGGCCCATGAATACTTACTTAATGCATCTGCAGCTGGCACGGCTTCATTGGATGGTGCTGAAACAGGTCATCTCCACCCCTCAGACAGCTTTCCCACCGCTTGACTCTGATGCTGAGGTTGCTTCGATGAAGCTTGAAGAAGGGCAGTGAGAATGTGGCTGCTGAGGGCGTTTATTCTAGGGGCTGTTTTTTCTTGTAAGCACTCTGCTCACCCTCCTTTCTCCATGCTCTTTAGTGGCAAAAAGGGAAGATCTGTAATTTTAGTTTCACATTTCTAGTTTTTGCCTTTGTTCTGTGTAGGTGTTTCTGCACAAGCCTTGCAGCAAACTCCAATATCCATCACCAAGCCAGAAAGCAAAACGGTGCTAATCAACTGCCATGTGTTAGCTCCTGACTTTGCCAGTGCTTTTATTCACTGGTACCGAAAGAGGCTGAATGCAGCTCCTGAACGCATTGCCTACATGTCGTCCAGGCTCTTCCTTGAAAATAGCTCTGATGATGGAAAGTTCAGTATCGAGAAGGACCTCTCCAAATCTGTCTGCACCCTGACAGTGAGCAAAGTAACACCGCAAGACGCCGCTACCTACTACTGTGCTAGCTGGGATGCACAGCAGTAGAAAGCCATAGGCAACCTGCACAAAGATATGCCCTGTTTCTCAGCCCAAAATACCCTGAAGTATCTGAAAGTATGTGGGAACATCCCCACTTGTTCACCTACCAGCCTCCAGTCAGACACAGCTGCTTCACTTCAACAGCAAAAAGGGAGTTTTCATAGGTATGACTGGATTGCCTTTGGGCATGGTTCCAGGATGGCAAGGTGGGCTAGCTAAAGGAAGGAAAAAAATCTTTCCATTCAAGCTACCCTTCAAGTAACATCATCAGAAAAGGCCCCCTCCCCCCAATTGCATTCTTCATGTGGCAATATGAAAGGATGGAAGTGAAAAAGAGAGTGAAGTGCTGCTCAGGGCTGCAGGTGCAATCCACCCCTTTAATGCTCCTCTGCTGGTTGAGAATCTCCTTTTTTTTTCAACTTGTTTTCAATTTGGAGCTGATCAAGTCTCCAGTTATGGTACAATGCAAGACTTCTAACCGATTTCAGTGAGGTTTCTTCTTTAACAAGGCAGCAAACCTGCAAAACAAACAGCAGTTATACAACAGATATTTATACTTCCATTTTGCAAACAGAAAAACATCAATTTACTTCACATCATTTTCATTTGCAGCCAAACGACCAGTTGTTAATACCACAAAAGCACAGCGTTCTGGTCCAAAAGACCCCAGCGTAGCTGGCCTCTGATGCCCCTTCTCCAGCACCCATTTAGCATTGGGATGTTGATTGCACACCACAGAGGTGTGAAAGATCTCCTTTCCGTCATAACAGTAGATAAGTACATGAACAAAAGAACAACTGGCCGACATCAGCAAAATAAGACTGCAACAACAACAGAGTAGGAATTGGTTTAGTTTTCTTTGCAAGGAAAACAGCAGTGCCTGGAGTGCCCTCTTAGGGCTGGCTATTAGCTGTGTAGAATAAATTCTGTATTTTGCTCTCCCCGACTATCTTTCTTTTCCGCTAAACCTTTCTGGGCAGCATTTGTAGATGCCAGCCCGGCTGTATGGTCTCAAGTTGCCTCTGACCAGAAGCTGTAGCAAGAACAGCAATACTGCTGCTGAGCTCCCAGATAGGTGCAGTGTATTTTTCCGGCTTCCGGCATTCAACTTGAGCGGTGGGCAGTAATTTGAGAACCTTCAAATTCATTGCTCTCCACATTGTTATTTTTTCTTCCTTTTATTGGCAGTGGATCTGAGGAAAAGTATCTGACACTGGACAGCATTTAGCAGCCTTCCACTGGTCTAAACATAGTGATCAAACTAGCTTCACACTCTACAATTACTTTGTAAAGGAGTTAAACTGATGCTGCATGCATGTGTGCATGCGTGCATGCATGCGTGTGTGTATGTGTGTGTAGGGGGAGAGCGAGAGTGAGAAAAGGAGAGTTTGTGCAGCTTGTGTGAAACCTCTGGACAGATTATTAAATTTATCAGGGTTGAATCATGCTACTTTATCTTGAAATTGCCCACCTGCTGCCAGGACACCCTCTCTGGATGACACCCAAATGAGTCACTTCCTTTCCTGGGCTACAGGTCTCCGTCCCAGCAAGGAGAGCGCTGGTGTTTCTGCTGAGGCAGCAGCGAGCAGGAGCTCTCAGGATGCTGCTGCTCCCGGTCCTGGCTCTGGCTTCAGCCTGGTCTCGTATGTCCCTTTTTTCACAGTGGGCAGCAGGGAGCAGCGGCAGGAAGCACTTGGTATTAATGCGCAGGAATGAGGAACAGGGTAAGAGTGTTTGTTCTCATTTCTTTCGTTCTCTTATTTCTAGATGGAGAGGCGCAAGTGCTTCTGAAACAGCACCAAACATCTGTTACCAAAGAAAAGACCAAAACAGCACGGATTGAGTGTATGGCTGAGGGCATAACCAACTTCCAGGCTGCTTATATACACTGGTACCGGCATATTCCTTCCAAAGGTCCTGAATGGCTTCTGTATATCAAATCAGCAGAAGAAATTACTTATGATCAGGACTCCTATAAGAGCAAGTATTTTTCCATGAAGGTAGGAAAAAACGTCTGTACTCTCTCAGTAACTGACATAAATCTTAGTGACGAAGGCACCTACTACTGCGCGTACTGGGAGTCTCACAGAGTTAGCAGACCATTGATAGCCTGTTGAAAAAGTCCATGCTTATGGCATTTTCTCTTTCTTTTGTTGTAGACAAAGCAATTCCTCCATCTATCACAAGAAAAAGAGGCAGAACAAAAAAATTTTCTCTACTATTGCCAGTATGAGATTGAGATGTGTACAATATTATGGAGAAAGAAGATCCAGAGGGGATTCTCTCTTTTGGATCAGAAGATCAGCAATCAGATTCTGGTGAAAAAAAGTTTGCTGTTGAGAGATCTTCTCAAAAATGAGGCACAGAATGCTCTTATACACAACAAGTTTTCAGCAGCATGACAGGTAATTTAAAAACGCAGTATCCAGCGGCAGTGAAACATACAGCACCTCCTCTATTACGTGAACAGAAACAGTGTACCTGGTAGGGAGTGACCAAGAATGTGGTAATTGCAACAAGCCAGAAGAGTTTCAGGAGCAAACTGCAGGAAAAAATAAAAGCAACAGTATGTCTTTCGAGGTGGTCCTGAGCCCACAGCCAAACGTAATGTTAACGATGAGGATTAGAGTGAAGCAGGTTCTTGCTTTGTGACTTCCCTGCTAATAGCAGCTATACTTTACAAGAGCAGTCAAGGCAGATCTAACCTTGCTCCTACTTCAGCTGAGGGGATCTCTTTGATAGGCTCCAATGGAAGACCCTTGGAAGAGCCAAGCCATGATCCAAGGCAATTTGGGATCCTTTAGACTTAGCCAGGTACAGTAACAACAAGGCCAGCATTCACGTGTGGTTAGCTGTAATCTGACTCTGTCACTCACCACTTCACATCACTGGTGTTATGCTCCCGCCCCCCCACAGCACACTGACAAGTCCTCCTGTGTGACAAAGTCCCAGTGTGACCCACTGTAAATGGCAGCAACGCCATGTAGCACAAGCTTGTCCCAGATTTTCCCAGTTCAGTGTTGGGGGGGAGGGGAAGGGGCACGAGGGAAGTTTCTAATGTGGTTTCCCCCTTTCTTTCCTTGTGACAAAATGTTAATTCGGATGAGGCTCGTACATGTCTGAGCACAAAGCAGTGACTGAAGGCAGAAGTTCTCTCTCTCAAGAGAGAGAGTCTCTCGATTTGCCTGGCCTTAATAAAATAGTCACCACAGGACAAAACAGAAAGGCCTTAAGCTCCTCTGTACGCAGCCTCCCAAATTCTGCTGTATTTGCTGAGTCCTGTCCATCCCTGCCTCAGCTCACGACTGACAAGGCATCTGGCTTTCTTTCAGCTCGCAGCCCCACATGCCAGCTGGCCACCAGACCTGTCCGTGGATGCAGCAGAAGTGAGTCTCTGCCCCTCCCCAGCTGCCTCTCCCTCTTTCCACTGAAGGACCTGCTGATAGTTTTCCACCAATTTCAAATCCAGCCAGCTCAGTCAGCAGGCTACTCTTGCCAGTCCTCACCCTGACTGAGATTTTGTGTTGAAAGTCCTCTTCCTTGCTTGGGTTCTCCCTACTAAAAAGAACTATGCATGTTCCTGATCCACCTGACTTGGGCTTAGTGGTAGTCTTTTCCGTGGGGTTGCGTATGCACGAGTAAACCTGAACCAAGAGCATATATCTCTAGCAAGACCAAAAGGCAACACTGTTTGTGCCTACTGCAAGGTTGCCAGAATTCACAGAATCACAGAATGGTTTAGATTGGAAGGGACCTCTGGAGATCATCCAGTCCAACCTCCCTGCTCAAGCAGGGTCCTCCAGAGCATATTTCCCAGGATCGCATCCAGATGGGTTTTGAATATCTCCAGGGAAGGAGACTCCACTACCTCTCTGGGCAACCTGCTCCAGCACTCTGTCACCCTCACAGTGAAGAAGTTTTTCCTCAGGTTCAGATGGAACTTCCTGTGTTTCAGTTTGTGCCCATTGCCTCTTGTCCTGTCGCTGGGCACCACGGAGAAGAGAAGAAGAGACTGGCCTCATCCTCTCGACACCCTCCCTTCAGATACTTATACACGTTGATGAGATCACCTCTCAGTCTTCTCTTCTCCTGGCTAAACAGGCCCAGCTCTCTCAGCTTTTCTTCAGAGGAGAGATGCTCCAGTCCCCTCATCCTCTTTGTAGCCCTCCGCTGGGCTCTCTCCAGTAGTGCCAGGTCTCTCTTGTACTGGGGAGTCCAGAACTGGACACAGTACTCCAGGTGAGGCCTCCCCAGGGCTGAGTAGAGGGGCAGGATCACCTGCCTTGACCTGCTGGCAACACTCTGCCTCATGCACCCCCGGATCCCACTGGCCTTCTTGGCCACAAGGGCACACTGCTGGCTCATACTTAACTTGTCCACCAGCACTCCCAGGTCCCTCTCAGCAGAGCTGCTTGCCAGCAGGTCAACCCTCAACCTGTACTGGTGCATGGGGTTGTTTCTCCCTAGGTGCAGGACCTTGCACTTGCCTTTGTTGAACTTCAGGCGGTTCCTCTCCACCCAGCTCTCCAGCCTGTCCAGGTCCCTCTGAATGGCAGCACAATCTTCTGGTGTGTCAGCCACTCCCCCCAGTTTAGTATCATCAGCAAATTTGCTGAGGGTGCACTCTGTGCCTTCCTCCAGGTCATTGATGCATACATCGAACAAGACTGGACGCAGGACTGACCCCTGGGGGACACCGCTAGCTACAGGCCTCCAGCTAGACTCCGCAGCACTGACCACAACCCTCGGAGCTCTGCCATCCAGCCAGTTCTCAATCCACCTCATTGTCCACTCATCTAACCCACACTTCCTGAGTCTACCCAGGAGGATGTGATGGGAGATAGTGCCAAAAGTCTAGTGTCAAATTGCTGGGACCTTTGACAGTGCCATTACACCCTGGGATCAGATGGCTATTACCCCCCACCGAGCTTGCAGGGAAACTCACCAGCAGTGAGTAGGAAAATTCCAGACTACAGGCTTTCAGCTGCATCAGACCACAAGCACTTTGCTATTCCTTTCTCCCTACACAGGTTTTGCTGCAGAAATGCCTACTGGCAACACAAAGCCCTCTTCCTCATTGACCTGACATGTGCCTTAGCCGTCTTGAGAAGCTGGGAGTGATGCAGAAGAGCAAGTGCTGCGCAGTGCAGGAGAAGGAGCATGCTACACTGTATCCCCTGCCAAAGGGACCATTTGCCATGAAGTCTTTGCAGGGCCTCTGGCCAAGATCTTCCCATCTCAGCAATATTCCCTCTGCAATGGAGTGGAAGCCCAAGAAGAAGCCGAGGGCAGTAAGGAGCTGTCTGGGAGACATTCCTGCTTCAGCCTGGCTTTGTCACAGCAACCTGGGCTCTGTTGTTCATGGGGCTCCAGCTGCGTTTTCCCAACTAAAAGGCTGTATAACCCTGTCACCAAGGAAGGCAGGCAGCTAAATACTAGGTGTGCCCAGCCACCTTGCTTCCTGCAAGACATTCCCGCCAGAGGAACCAGCCCCCAGGACCTGGCATGCTGTCCCAGAGGAACAAGATTTGACAGACTATCCCATAAGTAGTCCATTACCACCAACCACGCCTTTTGTGCCACAGAAGCAGATAGTATTTGCTAGGGGAGGCTGGTGAGACATACTTTCAGGACAGTGTTGGGTTATCTGAAGAGAGGAGGACGTCTTTGGGAAGGGTGGGATTGGACATTTGGAGTTGTGTGCATGCGTGTGTGTGTGTGTGTGTGTGTGTGTGTGTGTGTGTGCACTTTAGCAGGCTTTGCATGTAAGTTGGAGAGGAACATAGCAGCTAGAAAGCAGAACACAATGGATTTCAGGTTGAGTATTTGAGCTCCTTGAGAGCTTCAGGTTGAGTGGCATAAACCACTCCTGCTGTGGTTTAGCTTGTCAGTAGATGCAACTCCCATGGCAACAAGTCGGAGAACTGCCATTGGATGTGCCAGATGAGTCATCTCCTCCTCCCACTGGCTCTACTCTCTTTCTACCTGAAGGGCTTTGCAGTGTTTCTGCTTCGAGTTCAGTTCCAGGTTTAACCCCCCACCACCGGGCAGCATGTTGCTGCTGCCAGTCCTTCTGGTAACTTCACCTTGGTCCTGTAAGTCCTTTTTCCCTTCTCCTCTTCTTCACGTTTCCTCCGTACCGAGAAGAGACTCCTTGTTCCAAAATCCGACATTTTCATCCCGTCATCCAGTTTCACTGCTTTCTCTTGTAGGTGGAGATGCACAAACAGTTCCGGCTCAAACCCCGAAGCTGTTGAGGCAGGTTGAGCGCAGTTCGGCCAGTATGTCATGCAAAATAAACACCAATACCTACATTCACTGGTACCACCAGCCTCCTGGAAAGCCGCCGGAGAGGATTCTGTATGTGTCAGGACAAACACCTACATTTGATGACACAGCCAGTAGCTGGAAGTTTAAGGTTCAGAAAGATTCTACTAAGGCTGTCTATACTCTCCGAATAGATTATTTAACCCTGAGGGATTCTGGCATTTATTATTGCGCCTATTGGTTTTATGGAAGATCACAACATTAGAAGGGTAAAGATAAGCCGTACAAAAAGCCATACTGCACTCTGAACCGCAAGCTCTGAACTGTGCCAAAATGCAGTTACTTCCCTATTCCTCCCTTCTCAAACTGCTGCCTGCAGCGGGATGGGAAAACTTACCATTACCGCTTTCAAGTAGGTGACGTTAATAATCAGGACAGTACTTGGATGCTTACAGAGAGCCGCAGTGTCCAGAAACTGGAGAGTCCCTGTGACCTTAGGGCAAATATATGGGACTTTGCTGTTCAGATGAAGACTGGGTTGTACGGAAAGCATTCCCCTGACCGTGAACGCAACGTGTCTGTGTGTGTGAACAAATGTTAGTTGCCAAGGGACCCCTTTCCCGCCCTGATGAGAACCCCTGGAGCAAGCAGAGAAACATTTCTCTATGCCCTCAGTATTTCCCCCTGAGAAAAAAGGAAGATAGGGAAGTAAACCAAGGAGAGAAGGCCAGAGGATCTTGCACCTCCCCTCTCTTCCACATCCTCCCCCACAGTTTTCTCTTGTCCTCCTTCTCCTTTTGGTCCCTACAAACTCCTGCAAACATCCCAGGAAGCCTAATTTCATTGTCAGGATTCCTCTCCAAACGCGTCCAAATGCGTAATTCCCTGCCCATGAGCAATGTATCTGACAAGTGGAGAGTCCCTGGTGCTTGAGGCCTAATTATTTCTCCTGGGCTTTGTGTATGACGGTCTGAGATCGTACCGCAGTAGGAAAGTTTTGTGCTTCTGCATCTTGAATTAGAATTGAGTGTGCATGCTTAATATCCTGTAAAAAGTTCTTGTGATGTGTGTGGACCTTGAAAAATGAACACCAATATCCTCCATAGTGGTAGTTTTCCAATTCCACAGGCTCTATAGACTGTTCTTACTGGACTTGCTTTTATGCCTTTCAGTATGATTTGAGCAACAATATGCAGCATCTTGATATATATGTTTCTGGCCACCTTAATTATTTGAAAAATAGACTGTGGTAAATTTGACCTGATTTTAATTTCAGTCAGCTTGCCTTCTTTCCTCACACTGTGAGATTTTCTGAAACTTAGTTCCATATGCAGACAGTAGACCTGCTGTTGGATACTGTTGGAATAATCCACTTACGCACTACCCTGCATCCATACCTATGAGAACTCATTTTCATCTATTTCTCAGTTAGATATCCAACTAAATGATTAAGCACAATACTGTTACCAGCTGTTACGGCCATGTCAGTTTGGTCTTATAAGACCTTTTTTTTCCTTTTTGCCTTTCTTCATCATGTGTGCATTGCTCAGCAAAAGAGCATGTTCCAAAAAATATTTCTATTCAACTCATGATATCATTTCTCCTTTTTTTTCCAGATGAGTTTTTTACAAGCAATTCCAAAGCAGGGCCATTTTCCATTATCAAACATGAAGGAAGTGCATGTCTTCACTGTTACATTACAAATCTCTCTGAAGATGTTGATAGTATCTTAATATATGTTGGTATCAAATAAAGAATATTGAAGCTATGTACAAAGTGGATATTAATCATTTCATCAGAGACAAGTATATTTGGTGATATTTTTAACCTGGAAAGGCATATTGTTGAAAAACGCTCTGACCAATACATATGTCTTCTTGCAATATGCAACATAAAGTTGGACCTGTTATTGTGCCTAATGGGAGACTTGCTATGTTAGAAAGTCACAATACAAAAAGTCACCCCTTATCTGTAATATAGACCTTTAATTGTGTGAGACCAAATCACTTACATATTCCTTTTGTCTTAAACTCGGATCTGATACCTGGCAGATTTCTAGCATGTGATATGAAGAACAGCAAGGTACTATTACTGTTTTATATATATATATATGCAATAATATGTAAGCCTAGACCTGACACAGATGTATATTGTTAAGCACATGGATGTGCTTCATTGCCTGAAAATGTGGTTACAGACTTCTCATGGGTGGTCTGGAATACAAGTCTGTCTGCTAAGGAAAAGCACTCTTAGCTCGCTCAGGTCCACTAAGCCACTACAACATGAGTGCTTGTGTACTTTAGGCATATATTTTAACCAGAACGCTTTCCAGCCCTGATGATTCTTCAGGAACTGAAAATGGATCTAGCACCAGTAAATGCACTGAAAACCACAGGGCTGTTGCTGCAACCATTCTCACAGTCTCGCAGCTGTAGTCACCAGGAAAACTGGACCCGAAGAGCTGCAGAGAGGACTTTCAGAGCCGAGGTAAGTCTAGTGTAAATGCACTATGCTTACCAGAAGTTTGTGAAAGGTATAAAAGAATTCCTCTTCATGACTGAAGATGAACTACATCTGTTACAGCCATGATGCCAGACTGTCAGAAAATGGAAAGCCTGAGAGACCATCAAATTCATTCTCTGCCTGAAAGCAGGCTCTCCGAAACCCAGACTCTGTGTGATGTTTGTTGCTGGTGCACCGCCTGCCCTGAGGTCAGCAGTGGAATCCTGATGAACTCCTTCAACTCTAACAGCAGTTTTGTCCACCTGAGTTAAAGGGGTCCTCAGTGATCTGCAAGGCTGGGGTTGTGTGTGTGTCCTGGTATCACTAACCCTATCCATGGTTTGAACACTATTCAGCTTAGGAAAGCACTTGCAGATGCTGAAAGGTCTTACCTTAGAGAATTATTAATCTTTGTTTTCCTGACATCTTGAGGTATTTCTTGGTTTTAGACCTCTGAAAGAAAGTTTTGGCAGCAGTATTTACCTGGTACATTTGACACTAACACAGCTAAAAATAATTATTGTATCTTAACTGATGTACAAGACGGTGGTTCTTTTCTGGCTGTACTAGCACACTGATTCACTGACTTATTCACAAAAGAGTGTCTACACAACTGCGTCAGGTCAGCATTTCAGACTGGGGGCTGAGACGCATCCAGCACTGCCACAGCAGACATCATACGCCTCCGTTTGATGATACCTGCGTCCTTCCAATCCCAGACACCAGTACAGCTATCACTGAGCAAGTTCACTGACTATCCTGTAATCTGTCTATCTATCCATCCTTCCATCTACCCCTCTCCTAATGTCTAATGGCTACGTCTTCCAAAAGAATCAACACAGGGGCTTTAAAAGCTCAGCTATGCAATATTTACTGAACCGCCTGTCTGCCTGTTTCTACCTCTGTCCTTATGGACCAAGATCTTTTGTCTTCTACTGTTCTAATCAGTTTTTGGCATAAGGGCCTTAATATCAGGTTCTTTCCATTGCCACACAATTGCCAATGCAATTTTGATTTTTCTTAGCCGTTGTCCCCCATGCAGGAAAACTGTCACTGGATGCAGCTGGAATGAGTGACTTTCTGTTTGCATTTCTCCCCCTTCACTTTAAAGTCTGTTTCATATTTCTGTCTTCCTCACTCCCATGCTCTTAAGCCACCTACGCAGCTTGTTGTGCCTGCTGGTCCTTAACTCACTTCTCCTCCTCATCCTTTTCAGGATGGCCCAATAGAGAATTAAATAGATATCTCCGTTGTTATTTACTGAGAAGAGATGGACCAGTTCCACCAATACTACTACCACACATAGGCAGATGTCTCTCTGTCACTGTCTTTCGCCTGATGCTCTGCAATGATGGATGCCTTTCCTAGTCTGCCAATGACATGTGCCTAATGCCACCTTGCTGTGCACAGCTGATCACATAAATGAGGGAGGACAAAGCAGCTTGTCTCCCTCATGCCCAGATGGTCCCACAGCCTCTGCTAACCTGCTACAGGAGAGAGCCCTCATGATGTTCACGTGACCTTATCGAGACGCACCTCGGCAATGGCTGTTGATAAGCAGACCTCATTCAGTGCACAGGCAACCTCTGTTTCCGAGTCTTTCTTTCCAAGAAGTGTTTGCATCTTATCTGAGCTTTGAAACTGAAATCTTGCAGCTGTGTGTTTCCTCCCACCTTTGAAACCAAAGACTAGGCATGTATTCACTGTACAGCTGTTCTGGTAGGTGCAGGTTGATATGCAACAAGCTCATGTGCTGCTTCTGTGAGGGGGAACCACTGACACAGGGGCACCCTGGCCATTTCAGAGTGCCGGATCTGTGTAACTGAGCCCAAGCAGCAAAATAAGGTCTCTGATGGGATGATGGGATGCGCCCTGCTCAGTCAGGGCTGCAATAAGGGCACTGGTGTGGCTCTCCAGCCAGAGCCTGGCACCCCTCAGGCACTCACTGGTGGCCTCCGGCTTGGACTCTTCCCACCCTGTAACACAGCAGGAGCTGCCCTTGCTTTCAACCCTTTCTCAGTGGTTCTGGCTCAAGTTTTCGAGTGTCACAATCTTTAGATTTAGAAATGTTTCTCATATCTATCTGGGAAGTAAATGGGTCTACAACCTTCTCACCAGCTTTAGCATTTGGCAGCCTAAGTCCTTCCCCAGACTGCAGTGGGTTTTCTGAAAGTGTGGCCTCATATGCTTGCAAACAGACCTATCACTGGATACTGCTCATATGAGTCACTTCCTGCTCCTGCACCACCCTGTCCCCGTCGTTTCCTTCTTCTCTGACTCTTATTGACTGCTGAGTGTGACAAGTAAACATGTTACTGCTGGCAGCTCTTATGGCCAAAATGGTTTGGTCTTGTAAGTCCTTCCTTATATTCTTGCCTTTCTAACAGGTGCTCGTCGCTTCACCAGATGCCATATTCCCAAATCCCTGAATTATAACTAATTATCACTTTTCTCCTCTTTTTCTTCCTAGATGGATTTGCACAAGAAATTCCCCAGCAGAGCCCTATATCTATCACCAAGTTCCAAAGAAGTGCACGTATGAGCTGTGAAATTACTAAATTACTAGAAAGTTTTGACAGCACTGTCATACACTGGTATCGACAGAAGGAAGGGAAACCCCCAGAGAGGCTACTGTACTTTTCAGGAGGGAAAGCTTCTGTTGAAAGTGGCTTTCAAGAAAACAGGTACATGGTTGAAAAAGTTTCTGGCCAGAATCGATGTGTTCTTACAATAAAAGATGTAATCCCAGATGACGCTGCCACTTACTATTGTGCCTACTGGGATGCTCACTATGGTGGAAACTTAGAGACCATTGAGGCAAAAACTCCCTCAGCATCTGAACCACAGGCTTTTAACAGTGTGAGACTACAGTCACTTGCCTCACTTGCCACAGTACCTTTGCACAACTGTTTTGAAACATGTGCCATCATTATCACTCTGACCATCAAACACACATCTACAAATGTCTACAAACAAAAAAAACCCAGAAACAAACAAACAAAAAACAAACAAAAAAAAACGCAAGTGAGTGAAGAAAACTGCTTGGTAACCTGAACAATATGTTTGCTGCTCCCTAGTATTTCTAAGAAAAACACTCTGTATCCCCCACAGTACTTCTTCCTGCTCTACGTGGAAGTGACTGTAAGGCCCTGGAAATATTCTTTACCTGAGGATTCTGATTTCACGAAATCCCACACAGGCAAATTTAAGTCAGAAATTTATATTCTCATATCTACCACAGCTGATGATGCGCTGCTTATAAATTACCTCTCCTTTTGTTTCATGTTAGGGCAAATAGAATAAATAGGTTTCTTTGGAAGGCAGGAGACTTGCTGAAACATTTGATTTTGGGGAAGCCATTTCAAATTTTAGTGAGTTAGTATATGGCCTTGGGTACAGCAAGCATTTCAAAGAAGTTGAGAGGAATAACTTTTACTTGTACTGGACTACATACTTGTAGCCCAGTATGTGCCTACTCATCGACTTGTGTTTTTTTTCTTTTTTTGATCAAGTGTATTATTGGATACTAGAAATGCTGGTCCATGAAACATAATGAGCTATGGGACTTTAGAAAGAAAATCAGACTAGGTGCAAATAAAGGGTAAACACCGATATCCTCAGTTCTTGAAAGTCTTAAACACAAAGTGGAGGTTAAGCAGTTTTGCAGTAGTAAACTCACTGTGGACCCTGGAAGTACTTGCCATGAGAGGCTTCACCTTCGCTAGTGCACCCTGGTGTGTCGTGGGGGCCAGCACTTCAGTGAAGCCAGAGCTTCGCCCCCGCGGGGGGGGGACCCCCCCCCCCCCCCATTTCCTTCACCTGCATTGGCTCCCCCTGTCCCCAGTGCTTCCGGCACAGGAGTGGAGGGTGCATTTCTCTGGCTTAACGAATAGCGTCACTGTCTGCCGCCCAAGGAAGACGCCTCCTCCTCTCATGCAGAGTCACTCAGCTTGCATTCGGGGCCTGCTTCACTCCTCTCTGACTCTCAGCAGCTGTGGAGCTTGACAAGCATGTCACTGTTGGCGGCTCTTATGGCCGTGATGGTTTGGCCTTGTAAGTCCTTCTTTACTTTCTTACTTTTCCTCATGAGCATCATTGCTGTACTGAAAGACATCTTCCCAAATCCCTGAATTCCAATTAATAATATCATTTCTCTCTTTTTTTTTTCTTCCCAGATGGATTTGCACAAGAAATTCCCCAGCAGAGCCCTATATCCATCACCAAGTCTAAAGGAAGTATACGTCTGAAATGTAACTTTAAAGACGTCTCTGGAAATTTTGAAGACACCATCATACACTGGTATCAACAGAAGGAGGATAAAAGTCCAGATAGGGTACTCTACTCTACAGAAGGGAAAATGACTGTAGACAGTAGCTTCCTAGAGCACAGGTATATGGTTGAAAGAGTTTCTAGCCAGAAACTGTGTATTCTCACAATAAAAGATGTAATTGCAGAAGATGCTGCTACCTATTACTGTGCCTACTGGAAAACTCACTGTGGTAAAAACTCAGACATCACCTAGACCAATACTCCTGCAGCATCTGAACAACAAAGTATTTGAAAAGGTTTCCAGTCATTTCTCTCAGTGTGGAGGAGCAGTTTGGCCTCACGTGGAGGCTCTGGAGAAGCAGCACACGCTCAGTGTAGACTGACTCTTTGGAAACTTCAGCTGCCAAAAGCTAGAGATTTCTATCGAGAAAATACAAAGTGCAAAGGGAATAGTGCAAGGCAAATACCTAACCCAAGGCCAGTCAGCCTCTACATTTCAGGTTCTCCTCCTTTCACTCAAGCATGTCAGTTGTAAGGATTTCTTTAATAAAGGCAAAAAAGATCACTTCTCCATATTCTTGTTCCCAGAAATAGCTCAGCATGTTTTACTGAAGCTTTCCAAAGTCTTTAGCCTGACAAAGAAAACTGAAATAATAAACTTTAGCCTGAAGGTTTATAAAATCTTAAGCAAAGAAAAATGAATCTTATTTTGGTTTAAAAGTTAGTAGCTGTGAGAGGGGGAAGACGTTCTACTTATTCTTCCTGAGACATGGAAATCGGTGTTTTTATTCATTCTTTTGGAGCTATATCATCCCCTTTCCCCATCCTTCTTGCTTATCACTGTCTGTATTTCACTGCCCTTGTACTTGGTATTGATGCACCTGAATGACTCACCAAAGTTGGAGATAGCATTACCAAAGAGGAGAGCTTTCCATATTTAACAACAGCTTTTCACATTTATGTCTCATAAGCAATGTCTCCCTCCTAGCTATTGCCTCAAAGTGTAGTGTTCAAAGTAAGCTCAACACCAGGTGCCCACCGATAGATAACCTGTGTCTGTGGATAGACATATGCTTTGGTCCTGTATTTATGGGGTAGAGGTGCAAAGAAGTAACTCCAGCTAGTTAAATCAGTTGTCTAGTCATATGCAGAGGAGTGTAGATGGGGACCTTTTATGAACCAGACAATGGCTCACGTGCCATAAACTTTTTTCAAGTGTCTACAAAAAGTAGGAGGGAAAGTGAGCAGGCTTGAATTCTGCATTTGCTGTGATATTTTGGGATCTCTTTCTGCTGACAGCCCATTGCTTCAGAAAACACTGGTGTGGGCGCAGGAGCCAGCATTTTCGTGCTGCCCACAGGACCCATGCTGGCTCCCCGCAAGCTACTGGGAGATGGTGCCCTGCAGCCCTCCCTGCTCACTGGCTGTTCATGGCAATCTGCAATGCCTCTGTTTTCAGGTGGCTGCAGGGACTTTTTGCATTTAATTTTGCCCCTGCAAAGTCACCCTGCTCCTCCTGGACCTCTGCTCTCTTTTGTACTAAAAAACTTTACTTGTTTAATTTGACACCATTTCTCTCTGCGATATACGGCCTTTCTGGACCATTAGTATAGCGAATACAGTTAAATCTTTCATTAATTTTCCCATCGCCTCGTTACTCTGTTATGACAACACCTTTTTGATTAATGTAGTCTTATTTATCTCCTTCCTCTGGCTCCCTCTTCTCTCTGACAAAACAAACAAACAAACAAACAAATAAACAAGCTTTATCTTCACTTTCATCCAGTGTCAAAACACCAGTTAACCTGAAGTTAGACATCCCATTTTGTACCTCTGATAAGTTTTCCAGATCTTTCTGCCATCTTGCATGCTGGCCCCCATGCCCGAGAAATTCACCCATGAAGGTCTTCCTCTAAGATGAAGACCCTCTTTAAAATCCTCCTTTGCTGTAATACCCTCATATTCTCCTTGCTTGGCTCATCGAAGTGTATCTAATTAAAGAATATTAGTCTGATGGGTTGAAAAAGTGCTACAGCAATTTCAGCTCTGTATGAGGCCTGCAAAATGGCAATTACAACGAGAAGAGATAGTCTTCCCTGCCCAGGAATACTTAGAGTATACGATAGCTTTTGTCATATCCAATCGTGTAAACTGAAAGAACTTCACCCTCAGCCTGGTTCCTCTCCGTAGCCACAAACAATAATTTCTTTACAATATTTTGCGGTCTTTTGGTCACATGTTTGGGTGTATGCGTATGCCACACACGAGCCTGAAAGCACTCAAACTCAGATTATTTAAAATGGCAATTTAAACATGCAGACTGTTCAACTGACAGAAGCTGGGCTTCCTCAGATGTTATCTTGGCTTGTTTTGCAAGAAGCCAGTGTGCAAAGGAAAAGGCCCTTTCCCGCACCCGCTGGTATCAGGTGTCAGTAAGCTGTTATTTACAGAGTCTGGAAAGATTCCAGGAGATGGAAAGATAATAACTTTGTACTGAGCACAGAAAATACAAGGTGTAGCATACAGATCCCCTTTGCAATGCACGGCAGAGAGGGGCTTGTCATGTCGGCTCTCTCTCATTTCTATCTGCTAAATAGTGTCAGGACAGCTAAAAAAGAACTACTTTCTAGTAGTACTTGATGTTACCTATCTGCAGGTGAGAGAGGGTCTATGCCTTTGCAAATGGGCAGGATCATGGCCTTGGAGCACGTGTTTTTTAACATGTGCAACCCTATGGACCTCTTTGTTTAAAACCGAAGCGAAGCCTTCACCTAATTCTCATTCATAGACATAAAATGGAGGCATTATCTAACAAATTTGCAATGCTTTGAGAAAGAGACTTGCTCTGAAGGGAATTCAGATATCAGCCGAGCAACAGGGTGTAAGTCCGCAATATCTGATGTTCTCCAAACAGCCAATGGCCTGGTAATCCTTCCAGCAGGTTCCCTGGGACAGGTAAGAAAATTTTGGTTTTTTCTCCAGTGATAGCACAGCAACAGAGCATTTTAACTTATTGTAAAGTCAAAAGCCACTGTGGCATCTGCCTGGATAAAATACTTTGGCACAGGAACCAAGCTAATTGTTTCTAGTAAGTACCATTATTATTAATCTTGTTTTCACCTGCTAAATGGAGCTCTCCAAAGAGATGATGAAGAATGAAAGAGTGTATGAAAAATAACTTGTGCACGATAAGTTGTGTTTTGTCTGTGATCTGTGCATGGAGCTCCAGTTGGATGGGTAGTTGGGCAAGAAATAGCGGACCTGGTGAATATGAACCTGAAGAAATAAGTTGTGAATTGTCCGGATGTCCTGCAGGAACTAGAATGTAACCATTTGTCTTCTTAAAACAGTAGGATAGAAGTTATCTTGGAGAAAACGTAGCAGACTAGAGGCAACAGACCCTTGTTACGGGAATCCCAGAGGTAAAAAGATTGTGCTGTGTTTGAAAGCCTGAACTTTCTACACACTACAAAAATCAAAGTATTCCTAAAACTGCAGTCCTTAAAATTGCAGTTACTGCCCTGGGTCAGGTATTCACCCACCTCTAAATCAGAGAGACTTTTGCTGTAGCTTATGAATAGAAAGTGAAGTGCAGGAGATATTGCTAAGCATTATCATGCAGTGGGATGCTGATGTAAAAATATTTGGAAGTGGAACCAAGCTGATTGTTTCAGGTAAGTGTGAAACGTAAAACTTGCAACTTCTTCAGTGCGTTTCAGGGGTTAGATGCTGGCTGCATGAAGTGCTCTGCTTCTTTAGTTCCCACTGGTTTTAATGCCCCTTAAAGAGCATTTCAAGGCACAGAACACAACCTAATTGTTTTGTATTTATTTCTGAAATGGGGGAAACGACAATTATTGCAGCACAGAAGTATAGCTAATCTCACGCTTTGTTTGTGTTTCAAAGATGAATCTAAATATATAAAGATAACATTCAGAGAATTAAAAGACGCTTTTGTCTCTAATGATGCACATTCCACTTCTGTGAAATTTCTAAGTCGTTCTGAAAGAAAATGTCAAAGCCTTGGGTTACTCAAATTCTTTGAAGAGCAAGAAGTATTCGTTTAAGAGTATGCCGGACTGTATCGAATGGCAGGTGTTAACAGAGGTACGCCCAGGATTGTCTGAAGATATGCAAAGCTGAAGGGCTACTGCCTCTTCCTAGGTCTTGCAGAAACCTCTCATCATTCATTATTATCCTTATTGTTATCATTATTGTTATTAAGGAAGAGTGGCAAACTGTGGAAACATTGAGCTTCCCCTCCCAAAACGTTGGACATAATCAAAATTATAGTGCTTCAGGTTAACTTCAGGTGCTTCAGTACTTGCCTGTGATTTGCCTTAATTAGTCACTTGAGTTGGAAACAGTTTGCCTAATTGCAATCGTCTAAAAAAGGGTTATCTGGTTGGTGGGAGCTTGGGCTTTGATTCCTGTGCAGTCAGAGTTTTTTCTTCTTGTACTGACAAAAGAAATATTGATGGGGAGTCATACTTTGCTTGGGTCGCAGCATACCATTCACTACTTCTTTGTCTGATTTTATGGGTTTTTTTTAGAAGTGTAGTTTACTTAGCTAATATCTGATCCAGTAGATCAAAGAGGTCTTCTGCTGAGGCTTTCATTCTCCACAAAGCAGATGTGGAGCCAAGGTGATCAGTTTGCACCATTCATCTAAATGTTCCAAAGGTAAATATTTGTTAAGATGAATCCTGCCCATTTAGCATCAGTGATACCTTCAAAAATCCCTTCCCCATGCTTTTTAGAGTTTAGGTGTGTGATCCTTTTTTTACTGTTCTCAGACCTAAAAATTGATTAAACAGCAAATCTCTTTTTATTTAAAAATAACATTTACCCTTATCAAGAGAACAGATCTGCATTGTTATTGCAAAGGCTTTCTCCAATGTGTTTGCATTGGAAAGACTTCAAAATATTTGGCTCTGGTACGAAACTCCTTGTATCAGGTAAGTTAGATGCTACGTGCTATACAACAAGGTCTAGGAGCTTGGTTGTGGCCATACAGAATAGTGTAATTCTAGTGCCCTGGGGGATGTTGAGCTTGGCTGCAGCCTGGGCACCAGCCCTGTATAGGGTCACCACAGCTTCCTACAACCAGCCTCGCTGATTTGTAACGTGCTGTTTTAGGGTCTCAAACGTTTCTGAAAAGCAGAGATGTTTTGTGTCACTTTTGATCATAGTCCTCCTTGGAAATAGGGTGACAAATGGTCTGTAGTAGTTTTCAGAGCCCTCACGCTTTCATCCAACTGTATTGAATGAATAGGCATAGAATTAAGCTATTGTGAATTAAGCATAAAAAAGAGAAATCCTCTTCTCAATATAAAGAACAATGTGCAGTTTCTCATATTGGTTATTGAGGGTGAAATTCTGTCAGTCATTCCCCCAGAATTTTTCTTGTCTTTAGATCAGTAAAAGTGAAAGAATTTGGCCCTAATTATTTTTCTTATGTACACAGTACTTAAACAGTAGAAATAAACAAGTACTTCCAAATACTCTTCATATTGCTTAATAATATTTGCATAAAGAAGTGATCAATCTTTTTGCCTTTTCTGCAAAGACTTTTTACCTTTAAATGGTGTTTCAAACACAACAATCCTGGGGCTAACAACTGTACAAGCTCAGGGCAGAGGAACTGTTGCTACCAAATATTTTAAGCCTGGTTAAATTCATAGACTTATATTAGGAGATCAAGCAAAGACTGTTGTTAATAATTCTTTTAATAAGGAATAAGTAAATCATAACTACAATGCATTGGAAATATCCCTATCAGCATGTTGTTTTAGGTGAAAATTCTTCCCCTCTTAAGCAGGTAGATGCAATTCATTTAATACCTGTAGTTTACAATAAATGATTTTCTAGTGTCATTCTAATTCTGTAATATTCTGTTTTCCTTAAAGTGGGCCAAGACTTCTAACTGATTATTATAGAGTGAAAAGGCTGTATTGACCCAATGCTGAAGATCAGAAATTTCATCACAGAATGTTTTTTCATAGATGAATATTAAATATTAGCTCAACAGGTCATTCCTAATGGCGAAAAGCAAGACTTGGAATAAAGAGCCCTAATTCAATGAAATCACTAGGATTTGAGCTTGAGCAGAATCTTCCCCCAGATCTATACTGAAAGGGCCAAATATATTAAAAAAACCAAACTCCGATCAGCTTTGGTGGGCCAGAATTTCACCCCCAAACTCTATAACTCTACTTGTTATTTGTATAAGAGCTCTTATTTGCATAGCCAGAAGCTACTGTTCAAGACAGGTCTATGTAATGAACTTGATTTTGTTCTTGTTGGTCTTGTTTAATTAGTTCTACTTCACTGACCTAACAGAATTGTTCCAGACTTACAATAACAGAAGGGCTAGGATTTATGAGAATTGTTTTGCATTTGTATGTAGTGGAATAGTTGAGTTTTAAAAAGCTTTCATCAGAGTTGGAACATTAATCCAACATAAACTGGTAATACAGGATTCTTCTGTATGTATCTTTCCAGGAAACTAGGCACCCACAAGGTCACAGTAGGGAAGCCAGGACTGAACTCATCTCTTCAAATGCAGGATTTTTTTGG